GCTGCGGATTCATCAGTGAAGCTCGATTCACTTAGCTAATGAAAGTCATAATATCCATGCATAAAAATGATTATACTCTTGACTGATTTCTATAATTGCAGTACAATGAGCTCAGTAATAGACTCTTGCCAAAATACAAGTTATCTATAGCATATTTTTTTAAGATTTTGTATACTACTTATTTCACTTACATAAAAAAGAATTCAAGAATTCYRACAGTGCAGTTAGGCCTTCGATCTYTGATAGTGTAGTATAAAGACTAAATGTGTGCAATATACATACCATTAAATGATTTTAAATTATAGGAATTCTATTGGTTTTCTATTGTTTAGAGCACTGTTCAGTAGTATAGAGTGAAGGGACCATGAAACTATTGAAGTGTGACAGTCAAATAGACAGAAAAGAAAACAATGGATCTTCTAGAACTAGAGCGTACTACGGTTTATTAGTCATGTATATTTAACGGGTTTTTTGACTKCACTCTAAACGCTATTAATCTAATACTATTTTTAAGCACTGTTAAGTGACTGGTATAATCAACAAAAACCTTTTAGTGTTAATAAAGTGAAGACAAAAAAACCGTGAAAAGGATATCACACTAATATAATACACCCTTGTACGCTCTAATTGCATATTCTTCTATATTCTTCTTTAATAGCCTCAAAGTTTGTTTCACGGGTTTTAATTACATTGCTTATCTAGTGAGAAGTAGCAGTATTTGACTTCGTTTAGCATTTTATAGCGTAAACTTTCACGGCCATTTAATTGATTCTTATCGTTACATTAAATTTAGCTTAGTTWTTTTCTATAAGAGTGCGTGTGTAGTCATCACCTGAATTTCTGGTCGCTTTTGATGAAGTTTTAATGGCCACAAGCATGCATATTCAACTTTTAAWGCATGTTGAACTATGCCTTTTTCATTTACTCAGTTCTGTTATTTTTGTGTGCTTTATAACTGTATCAGTCGCATGATAGATCCCTTAATATTTATAAATAAATAACCACGGCTTGTAGGTAATGATTTTCATGGCCATGGGTTAYGAAAATAGCACCTTAAGACTTAAATCGAGAGACCAAAGATAATAAACTCAACTTGACACGCAACATTGTTGCTGTTAAAGTTTACCCTCATCGTTTCCCCTTTTTCTTCCAAAGATTGCGTAGGTGAAAAAAGAGAAAAACAAAGTTGAGGCATAACCTTTTGTATCTCGTATTGTTCGGGCGTAAACAAAATGTAATGCATATATGAAGTGAAGGAAAAAAAACAGTATTCAGAGAGTATATAGTTTGGTCGGTCCCTTTGCAACCGAATTTTGTACTGCAATATATTGTAGTATAACTGACTGGAAGTTTGTTGTCCCCTTAGACGAATGTTCCCAACTCTACGAGTATCAGTGAGCGGTGTTCAACCTAAAGCCAACTACCTTGTTCTYATGGATATTGTTCCTGTTGACGACAAGAGATATCGATATGCATACCACCGGTCTACKTGGTTAGTAGCAGGCAAGGCAGACCCCCCTGCTCAGGTTCGACTCTACATGCACCCCGACTCGCCCTTCACTGGGGAACAGCTCCAAAAACAAATCGTTTCTTTTGAGAAAGTGAAGCTTACRAATAATAATACTGATCACAACGGACATGTAAGTATAATTTGTGCAGAATTCATCATTTTTATAAAATTAAAAGTAAAATTATTCATTTATGCATATTTCAGTATTTTATAATATTGTATTAGCGATCACTCAGTGTTTAGTGTTTGTTAACTCACAAAACTAACTTCATTTTAAATCTGCAACCTAAATATCTGTATATTTGTGATTAGACAAGCACATTTTTCATTGTAAATAAA